CTTGCAACACTGCCGCTGTGTCCGGTGGTGGAGTCTTGCAACACTGCCGCTGTGTCCGGTGGTGGAGTCTTCCAACACTGCCGCTGTGTCCGGTGGTGGAGTCTTCCAACACTGCCGCTGTGTCCGGTGGTGGAGTCTTCCAACACTGCCGCTGTGTCCGGTGGTGGAGTCTTCCAACACTGCCGCTGTGTCCGGTGGTGGAGTCTTCCAACACTGCCGCTGTGTCCGGTGGTGGAGTCTTCCAACACTGCCGCTGTGTCCGGTGGTGGAGTCTTCCAACACTGCCGCTGTGTCCGGTGGTGGAGTCTTCCAACACTGCCGCTGTGTCCGGTGGTGGAGTCTTCCAACACTGCCGCTGTGTCCGGTGGTGGAGTCTTCCAACACTGCCGCTGTGTCCGGTGGTGGAGTCTTCCAACACTGCCGCTGTGTCCGGTGGTGGAGTCTTCCAACACTGCCGCTGTGTCCGGTGGTGGAGTCTTGCAACACTGCCGCTGTGTCCGGTGGTGGAGTCTTGCAACACTGCCGCTGTGTCCGGTGGTGGAGTCTTGCAACACTGCCGCTGTGTCCGGTGGTGGAGTCTTGCAACACTGCCGCTGTGTCCGGTGGTGGAGTCTTGCAACACTGCCGCTGTGTCCGGTGGTGGAGTCTTGCAACACTGCCGCTGTGTCCGGTGGTGGAGTCTTGCAACACTGCCGCTGTGTCCGGTGGTGGAGTCTTGCAACACTGCCGCTGTGTCCGGTGGTGGAGTCTTGCAACACTGCCGCTGTGTCCGGTGGCGGAGTCTTGCAACACTGCCGCTGTGTCCGGTGGTGGAGTCTTGCAACACTGCCGCTGTGTCCGGTGGTGGAGTCTTGCAACACTGCCGCTGTGTCCGGTGGTGGAGTCTTGCAACACTGCCGCTGTGTCCGGTGGTGGAGTCTTGCAACACTGCCGCTGTGTCCGGTGGTGGAGTCTTGCAACACTGCCGCTGTGTCCGGTGGTGGAGTCTTGCAACACTGCCGCTGTGTCCGGTGGTGGAGTCTTGCAACACTGCCGCTGTGTCCGGTGGTGGAGTCTTGCAACACTGCCGCTGTGTCCGGTGGTGGAGTCTTGCAACACTGCCGCTGTGTCCGGTGGTGGAGTCTTGCAACACTGCCGCTGTGTCCGGTGGTGGAGTCTTGCAACACTGCCGCTGTGTCCGGTGGTGGAGTCTTGCAACACTGCCGCTGTGTCCGGTGGTGGAGTCTTGCAACACTGCCGCTGTGTCCGGTGGTGGAGTCTTGCAACACTGCCGCTGTGTCCGGTGGTGGAGTCTTGCAACACTGCCGCTGTGTCCGGTGGTGGAGTCTTGCAACACTGCCGCTGTGTCCGGTGGTGGAGTCTTGCAACACTGCCGCTGTGTCCGGTGGTGGAGTCTTGCAACACTGCCGCTGTGTCCGGTGGTGGAGTCTTGCAACACTGCCGCTGTGTCCGGTGGTGGAGTCTTCCACTGCCGCTGTGTCCGGTGGTGGAGTCTTGCAACTGCCGCTGTGTCCGGTGGTGGAGTCTTCCAACACTGCCGCTGTGTCCGGTGGTGGAGTCTTCCAACACTGCCGCTGTGTCCGGTGGTGGAGTCTTCCAACACTGCCGCTGTGTCCGGTGGTGGAACACTGCCGCTGTGTCCGGTGGTGGAGTCTTCCAACACTGCCGCTGTGTCCGGTGGTGGAGTCTTCCAACACTGCCGCTGTGTCCGGTGGTGGAGTCTTCCAACACTGCCGCTGTGTCCGGTGGTGGAGTCTTCCAACACTGCCGCTGTGTCCGGTGGTGGAGTCTTCCAACACTGCCGCTGTGTCCGGTGGTGGAGTCTTCCAACACTGCCGCTGTGTCCGGTGGTGGAGTCTTCCAACACTGCCGCTGTGTCCGGTGGTGGAGTCTTCCAACACTGCCGCTGTGTCCGGTGGTGGAGTCTTCCAACACTGCCGCTGTGTCCGGTGGTGGAGTCTTCCAACACTGCCGCTGTGTCCGGTGGTGGAGTCTTCCAACACTGACCATTCATCAAACCAACAGAGAACTTTTTAGTAAGAAAGCTGACCATTTGCCAGTTATGGTGCAGGCACGACGCACCGGTGCCAGGCGGTGACGGGAGCAGCAACACTGGCCGTGCTGGGACCTCGCAACACTGGCCGTGCTGGGACCTCGCAACACTGGCCGTGCTGGGACCTCGCAACACTGGCCGTGCTGGGACCTCGCAACACTGGCCGTGCTGGGACCTCGCAACACTGGCCGTGCTGGGACCTCGCAACACTGGCCGTGCTGGGACCTCGCAACACTGGCCGTGCTGGGACCTCGCAACACTGGCCGTGCTGGGACCTCGCAACACTCAGACCTCAGGATGGAGTGAGGATGCACAAGCCGGTCTTGCTGGGACCTTAAGACATTGAAAAACAAGTTTGGTTATACACAATGTAAAAAGTTTGGCCGGCCGGAACTTCCATGTCCGGCTGACTATGTGGCAACTTTGTCTTCTATTTACTAAAGGACCAGTCTAGGTGCTAAGGACCTCCGTCGCTGCCTCCTGGAGGTGGATAAAGCGAAACATTAAAGGTGTTTAGATAAGACGCGGGAAGAAGTGAAAGAAAACGAAAGAACACGGAGAACCCAATTGTGAAACATTTAAATTCAAAGAAAAGCAAAGGCAACATAAAGATTCCACTTTTATACAGTAGTAAACACGAAAGAAACACAAATAGAAAATTACAGTCGGCGGTAAAAGTATCACTAGATGCAAGACTATCCCAATGAATGCAACGGACAAATATAAGAAATGTCTTTGTTCTTCCTAAAATATTGGAGAAGACCTGCCAGACAGTCTTCCTCACACACTGGCTTGCTGGCCACCAAGGAACCTGATCCATTGTCTTATACCAAAGTTAAGATTGACTTGAGACTATTTAGTTAATTGGATCCGCGGTTTACACATGAGAAACTCTGGCGGCCAGGTCGGATCACCCGGCCCTACTCTGTTGGCCCTAGACCCCCTATCACCACTATATTAGATCAAACATCTGCGACAATATATGTAAGTCTATTATACAACACCCCATCTATTTTTCCTTGTGTAGCCCATCACAAGCGCTCCCTCAGGCATCGCCCCGCCTTCCCTGATGTACAAGGAATGTCTGGCTGCTGTTCTTCATGTCTAGTGAGAGAATATTGTTTATGTCTCAATGTGCGTAGGATCGGTTATGTGCACGCGCCTTGGTTACCTTTAGGAAAGACCTGGGTGAGTAATGGTTTGAAAATAATGGTTGATCTATGGATCAAATCACAAGGCAATACAAGACGTGAGATCCCTCCATTGTTTCTAGTGTAGGTCAGACTAATATATATATACAAACGCAACCAGAGGTGGTACCCCTATGTATATTACATATATGAAAAAATTATATACATTAGGCCTGCAGTTTTCTTGATTTATGTTATAACTTTGTCATCCTCGTCTCATCTCCAGCCTAACTACTTCATTAACTAACGTTCACTAACACTTGTGCAGACGATGAGCCACAGTAACGTGGCTGAAGATATGATGACCTAACCTCACATAACAAAATGAAGAATCGATGATGTTTCTTCATTGTCTGGTGTGTGGTGTGAACAGCACTTGCACCCACTGGTACTGGTGCGGCCACACACCACCTGGTGTGAACAGCACTTGCACCCACTGGTACTGGTGCGGCCACACACCACCTGGTGTGAACAGCACTTGTACCCACTGGTACTGATGCGGCCACACACCACCTGGTTCTCTTTGCCAAAGGGTGCAAGGTAATTTAACTTTTTCCCTCTGTATTAATTCCTTGTTCTGTTGAATTTGACGATTTTCCTAAAGTTCTTTATGTTCTCCACTCGTGCATTTGTGGTCCCCTTGATGTGGTCACCTAGATGTGGTCACCTAGATGTGGTCACCTTGATGTGGTCACCTAGATGTGGTCACCTTGATGTGGTCACCTTGATGTGGTCACCTAGATGTGGTCACCTAGATGTGGTCACCTAGATGTGGTCCCCTTGATGTGGTCCCCCTTGATGTGGTCACCTAGATGTGGTCCCCTTGATGTGGTCCCCTTGATGTGGTCCCCTTGATGTGGTCCCCTTGATGTGGTCACCTTGATGTGGTCATCTTGATGTGATCATCTTGATGTGGTCCCCTTGATGTTGTCGCCTTAATGTGGTCCCCTTGATGTGGTCACCTTGATGTGCTCCCCTTGATGTCATCTTGATGTGGTCCCCATGATGTGGTCCCCGTGATGTGGTTCCCTTGATGTGGTCCCCTTGATGTGGTCTCCTTGATGTGGTCCCCGCGATGTGGTCCCCGTGATGTGGTCCCCGTGATGTGGTCCTCTTGATATGGTCCCCGTGATGTGGTCTCCTTGATGTGGTCTCCTTGATGTGGTCCCCTTGATGTGGTCACCTTGATGTTGTCATCTTAATGTGCTCACCTTGATGTGGTCCCCTTGATGTGGTCCCCTTGATGTGGTCACCTTGATGTGGTCATCTTGATGTGATCATCTTGATGTGGTCCCCTTGATGTTGTCGCCTTAATGTGGTCCCCTTGATGTGGTCACCTTGATGTGCTCCCCTTGATGTCATCTTGATGTGGTCCCCATGATGTGGTCCCCGTGATGTGGTTCCCTTGATGTGGTCCCCTTGATGTGGTCTCCTTGATGTGGTCCCCGCGATGTGGTCCCCGTGATGTGGTCCTCTTGATATGGTCCCCGTGATGTGGTCTCCTTGATGTGGTCTCCTTGATGTGGTCCCCTTGATGTGGTCACCTTGATGTTGTCATCTTAATGTGCTCACCTTGATGTGGTCCCCTTGATGTGGTTACCTTGATGTGGTTCCCTTGATGTGGTCACCTTGATGTGGTTCTAGGGTTGAACATTGGCTCCCGGGTCCCACGTTTATAGCCTCTGGTTACTGAAGGCAGTGGCATACATTCCTCATTTTTCTCACCTATTGTCTTTAAAGTTGCTGATTGAATTAACATGGCACACTCTCCACTTGTTGGTGTGTTTGTTCATTTGCTGTTTGTATTTAAGGTTTGTGCCTGCAGAATAGAGATGTTGGCTCCAGGGGCCAGATTCACGAAAGCACTTACGAACTTGTGCATCTTTTTTCAATCTTTGGCGGCTTTGTTTCCAATTATTAAACAGTTCATGAGCTCGGAAGCACCAGGAGGCTGTTTATAATAATAACAATAGTTGAATGGGAAGTTTTCATGCTTGTAAACTGTTTAATAAATGTAACCAAAGCCGTCAAAGATTGAGGAAAGATGTACACGTTCGTAAGTGCTCGCGTAAGTGCTTTCGTGAATCTGGCCCCAGGACCGACCCCCGCCTTCCTGTCCGTCTCTTGACTAATGTCGACCTATTGTTCTCTCCATCTCTCTCTAGTAAACACACACACCAGGATGCATCCCGCAAAAGCTGATAATCTCTCAAGTATCTGCTTACTGCTAGGTGAATAAAGACATCTGGTGAAAGAAACTATACGTATTTGTTTGCCTCAACTGGAAATAGAACCTGGGTCCGTGAACTGCGAATCCCAAACGCTATTCGCTCGGCCACAGGGCTCCATTTGCGCGCGCGTGTGCTAACCTAACAGTGCTTAATAAACATGCTTTAGAGGCAGTAATTAACTCCAGGGCGTCAGTATGGTTGTAAATTTACCCATAATTTCTTATGACTGATTTTGAAGTTGTAAATTATTTTTGCCACGAGCGCTCCTAGGTCCAGCCTTCCCTGATGTTTACAACACTGTATCTTCCTCTTGTTTGTCTTCTGTTCTGATCATTATCATCTTATTTTTATCAGCCTTGGAACAGTTCATCGTTTATGATACGTTATGATTGTTTTATGTCGTGATCATGTTTCCTCTGGCTCTTCGCTACTCCAATATTTGTAGTTTCAACTCTCTTTAGCCAAGCCTTAAGCTTCCATTGTCGAACTTTTGGTATTAATGTTAATATCTGGACAATATGTAAGTTATTGTGTAGCAACCTATCTCCGTGCTCAGGCACACCCACCACCACCGTGCTCAGGCACACCCACCACCACCGTGCTCAGGCACACCCACCACCACCGTACTCAGGCACACACACCCACCACCACCACCACCACCGTGCTCAGGCACACCCACCACCACCGTACTCAGGCACACACACCCCACCACCACCACCACCACCGTGCTCAGGCACACCCACCACCACCGTGCTCAGGCACACCCACCACCACCGTGCTCAGGCACACCCACCACCACCGTACTCAGGCACACACACACACCCACCACCACCACCACCACCACCACCGTGCTCAGGCACACACACCCACCACCACCACCACCGCGGTGCTCAGGCGCGCACACCCACCACCACCACCACCACCACCACCACGGTGCTCAGGCGCGCACACCCACCACCACCACCACCACCACGGTGCTCAGGCGCGCACACCCACCACCACCACCACCACCGTGCTCAGGCGCACACACCCACCACCACCGTGCTCAGGCGCACACACCCACCACCACCGTGCTCAGGCGCACACACCCACCACCACCGTGCTCAGGCGCACACACCCACCACCACCGTGCTCAGGCGCACACACCCACCTCCACCGTGCTCAGGCGCACACACCCACCACCACCGTGCTCAGGCGCGCACACCCACCACCACCGTGCTCAGGCGCGCACACCCACCACCACCGTGCTCAGGCGCACACACCCACCACCACCGTGCTCAGGCGCACACACCACCGTCCTCCACCGTGCTCAGGCGCACACACCCACCACCACCGTGCTCAGGCGCACACACCCACCACCACCGTGCTCAGGCGCACACACCCACCACCACCGTGCTCAGGCGCGCACACCCACCACCACCGTGCTCAGGCACACACACCCACCACCACCGTGCTCAGGCGCACACACCCACCACCACCGTGCTCAGGCACACACATCCACCACCACCGTGCTCAGGCACACACACCCACCACCACCGTGCTCAGGCACACACACCCACCACCACCGTGCTCAGGCGCGCACACCCACCACCACCGTGCTCAGGCGCGCACACCCACCACCACCGTGCTCAGGCGCGCACACCCACCACCACCGTGCTCAGGCGCGCACACCCACCACCACCGTGCTCAGGCGCACACACCACCACCACCGTGCTCAGGCGCACACACCCACCACCACCGTGCTCAGGCGCACACACCCACCACCACCGTGCTCAGGCGCACACACCACCACCACCGTGCTCAGGCGCACACACCCACCACCACCGTGCTCAGGCGCACACACCCACCACCACCGTGCTCAGGCGCGCACACCCACCACCACCGTGCTCAGGCGCACACACCCACCACCACCGTGCTCAGGCGCGCACACCCACCACCACCGTGCTCAGGCGCACACACCCACCACCACCGTGCTCAGGCGCACACACCACCACCACCGTGCTCAGGCGCACACACCCACCACCACCGTGCTCAGGCGCACACACCCACCACCACCGTGCTCAGGCGCACACACCCACCACCACCGTGCTCAGGCGCACACACCCACCACCACCGTGCTCAGGCGCACACCACCACCGTGCTCAGGCACACACCACCACCGTGCTCAGGCACACACCACCACCGTGCTCATGCACACACCACCACCGTGCTCATGCACACACCACCACCGTGCTCATGCACACCACCACCACCGTGCTCATGCACACACCACCACCGTGCTCATGCACACCACCACCACCGTGCTCATGCACACCACCACCACCGTGCTCATGCACACCACCACCACCGTGCTCATGCACACCACCACCACCACCGTCCTCATGCACACCACCACCACCGTGCTCATGCACACTACCACCACCGTGTTCATGCACACCACCACCACCGTGTTCATGCACACCACCACCACCGTGTTCATGCACACCACCACCACCGTGTTCATGCACACCACCACCACCGTGTTCATGCACACCACCGTGTTCATGCACACCCCCACCACCGTGTTCATGCACACCACCACCACCGTCCTCATGCACACCACCACCACCGTCCTCATGCACACCACCGTGTTCATGCACACCACCACCACCGTCCTCATGCACACCACCGTGTTCATGCACACCACCACCACCGTCCTCATGCACACCACCGTCCTCATGCACACCACCGTGTTCATGCACACCACCACCACCGTCCTCATGCACACCACCGTGTTCATGCACACCACCACCACCGTCCTCATGCACACTCACCACCACCGTGCTCATGCACACTCACCACCACCGTGCTCATGCACACCACCACCGTGCTCATGCACACTCACCACCACCGTGTTCATGCACGCTCACCACCACCGTGCTCATGCACGCTCACCACCACCGTGCTCATGCACGCTCACCACCACCGTGCTCATGCACACTCACCACCACCGTGCTCATGCACGCTCACCACCACCGTGCTCATGCACGCTCACCACCACCGTGCTCATGCACGCTCACCACCACCGTGCTCATGCACACTCACCACCACCGTGCTCATGCACACTCACCACCACCGTGCTCATGCACGCTCACCACCACCGCGCTCATGCACACTCACCACCACCGTGCTCATGCACGCTCACCACCACCGTGCTCATGCACACACTCACCACCACCGCGCTCATGCACACACTCACCACCACCGTGCTCATGCACACACCACCACCGTGCTCATGCACACACCACCGTGCTCATGCACACACCATAATAAACCACGCCAGACTTAGGTGCGCAACATAAAATCAATCTTCATTTGGCACCAGCAGGCCAACTTAACCAAACTTTGATTACTTTCCCGGCTGGTGTGGGAGCCGGGCCGGCCTCCCGCCATAACCCACCCGCCGATTTTAATAAAACCTACAATGGCCCGTTTTAGCAATTAGACTAAACCGTGAGCGGCCAAGCCAGCAGCGGCGGCGCGCGCTGACGCCCCGTCAACAGTCCCGGCCCATTATAATGTCTCACCAATTGGGAAAAAAAAGTTATTTGTTATCTTTGGGGCGCGATGAGGTGAAAAAAGGAGGCAACAGCTCTGTTTTGGAGTTCTTTTGTATGTTCAGTCTTTTGTAGCAAAGTCTGGCTTCCTCTTCCATCTTTGAGGACTTGGCTTCCTCTTCCATCTTTGAGGACTTGGCTTCCTCTTCCGTCTTTGAGGACTTGGCTTCCTCCCCCATCCTTGAGGACCTGAATTCCACATCCATCCTTGATGATCTGGCTTCATCTCCCATCCTTAAGGACTTGGCTTCCTCCCCCATCCTTGAGGACCTGGCTTCCTCACCCATCCTTGAGGACCTGAATTCCACATCCATCCTTGATGATCTGGCTTCATCTCCCATCCTTAAGGACTTGGCTTCCTCCCCCATCCTTGATGACCTGGCTTCCTCTCCCATCCTTGATGACCTGGCTTCCTCTCCCATCCTTGGGGACCTGGCTTCCTCACCCATCCTTGAGGACCTGGCTTCCTTACCCATCCTTGAGGACCTGGCTTCCTTACCCATCCTTGATGACCTGGCTTCCTCTCCCATCCTTGATGACCTGGCTTCCTCTCCCATCCTTGGGGACCTGGCTTCCTCCCCCATCCTTGGGGACCTGGCTTCCTCCCCCATCCTTGAGGACCTGGCTTCCTCCCCCATCCTTGGGGACCTGGCTTCCTCTCCCATCCTTGGGGACCTGGCTTCCTCCCCCATCCTTAGGGACCTGGCTTCCTCCCCCATCCTTGGGGACTGTTACCTATCGTACGTTACGGCTCGTGATCCTACAGCAGCCAAACTTTAATTACGTCTAGGGATACGACACAACTGCTGTTCTCAATAGCGAATCACCAGTATAACCCCTTGATAAGTAATGAGCACAATAATAAAATCTTCCTTAGGACTGAAGAATAGATACAACAATATTATATATATATGTATTAAATAAATCTCAATAGCAAACAGATGATTATATGGTCACAATATATCACATTAAAAATATCACTGTATCTTCCAGACATTAAATTACAATTATAATATGTATGGCTAATGACAGAACAAAAATGTATAACTTAACTCCAACAAGATGTTATCTCCTTGGTTCCCGATCAGCTACTGAATAACATAACGCGGGAATCAAAACAGATTGCCTTGCCCCGCGAACAATTTGCCAAAGTTACAATATTATTATTTCAACAATGGAGCAATACATTGTGACAAGAGTAATCTTAAACTAACTTAATGAATAATTAATACATATTGATATACACAAATAAAGTAAGTACTTCTTTACATAGTAATTAAAATATGCATACAGAAGGGAATAATGGCATGCACACCCAGCAACGGACGATCCCACGACAATTTGCCAGATACAGTTCACTCAATTATTATTCACCTCTGTTACCCACTTATGATCACATATAAATCATTAGTTCCCGTGGGAAAACTGAGCACACAAAGAAATAAACAATCATTCCCACGATACGTTGGGCCTAACGCCAACACTGTAACATGAATGTACGTTTGCATAGAACATATAAGTATATCAATATACATGCTTGTAATTTACATACAATTATAAATGTACATATTAATATATTTACTTACGTATCTATTAGGAGTACGTAACACTTCCACCTCCAAGAAAAAAATGCAATGGATTGAAGATCAATGGCATTTTTTCCGAAGTAAAAATGTTAAGTAAAAAGAAACATTTCATTTATGGTACATCAAAACTTCTTGACAAAGCATCAGCAATAACATTTTGCCTGCCTGGAATATGTTTGATTTCTACATTAAATTCCTGCAAAAAACAATGACCAGCGCAGAATTCGTTGGTTCTTGACTTTCATCATATTTATAAAGATAAGGGGGTTGTGGTCTGTAAATACTAACACTTTGTTTCCTGATAAGTAAATCTCAAACTTCTTAATTGACAATATAAGACCCAACGCCTCCTTTTCTACCACGGAATAATTTCTCTGAGCTGCATTAAATTTTCTAGAATAATAATACACAGGATGCTCAATCTTGTCTAAACCAACTTGAATAAGCACAGCACCTATTCCAACATCTGACGCATCAATGTGTAATATAAATGGTTTATCAAATTGGGGACTAGCAAGAATAGGTGAGGTGGACAATATGCCCTTTAGGTTCTGAAAAGCATTCTGACAATCTTGTGTCCACTGAAACTTTACTTGCTTGCGTAACAAGTTTGTCAAAGGAGCAGCTACTGTTGAAAAATTTCTACAATAACGCCTATAGTATGCACACATACCAATAAACCGTTGGACTCCTTTCTTATTGGTCAACACTGGGTAGTCCACAATGGCTTGAATCTTATCTTGTAAGGGGATAATCTTACCTTGTCCTACCTCGTGTCCAAGATAAGTTATCGTACCTTTTGCCCAACTACACTTATTCATATTTATGGTTAACTTTGCGTTTTTCAACTCTGTAAACAAGTTCTTAAGGCCTAAGAGATGATCTGCCCAATTCTTACTGTACAAAACAATGTCATCAAGGTAGGCCCTACAATCTGGCACATCCTTGAGTAAGAAATTCATGAGTCTTTGAAAAGTAGCAGGTGCATTTCTCAAACCGAATGGCATGACATTAAATTCATACGCACCATCAGGTGTAACAAAAGCAGTAACCTCTCTAGCATACTCTGTTAATGGAATTTGATAATACCTTTTTGACAAATCAAGCTTACTTACATATTCGGCATGACCTATGGACTCTATACATTCTTCCAACAAGGGTAAAGGAAAAACGTCCACTGTAGTGTTCTTGTTCAGTTTCCTGTAATCCACGCACAATCTCCAGGTTCCATCTGGTTTTGGCACTAACAAACACGGAGAGCTCCAAGTACTTTGACTTGGCCGAATGAAATCATGCTGGAGCAGATATTCCATTTCTGCTTGTATAATTTTCCTCTTTTCGGGATTCACTCGGTACGGATGTTGTCGAATGGGGGTGCTGTCCAGGAGCTGAATGTCGTGTGTGATGAGGTGGGTCTGGGTAGGAACCTCCCCAAACAGAGATGTATGGTTGTCCAGCAGAACCTGGAACTCATCACGTTGTTCCTCCTGTAAATGACATAGCATCTCCCTGCCATTGGAACTGGAACTGAGAAGTTGAATATTAACAACATGTCCCTCACTACAATTATCCTCAGGTGGTAACTCTTCCCGACTAAAACAAGCTACTACACCAGGTCCAACATAAGCTTTTAATCTGTTAATGTGTACAGTCATTTGGGATTCTGAAAGATTAGGGCTAATTAGTTTATAAGTTAGGTCTCCCACCTTGTCTACCACTTGGTAGGGTCCTGCGAACTTATGGGACATGGAAGTCCCCATACGAGGTTTCAACACCAACACCAAATCTCCGACAGCAAACGACCTTAGCTTAGCTTTGAACTTCTTGTCATATCTTACTTTTATGGCTTGTTGAGTCCTTCCCAGATGTTCTTTCGCCAACTCACGAGCCCGACACAACTTAGCCTTGACCTCACTCAAGTACAATCCACTCTGATGAACAGAGACATCTCCCAACAACTTTTCTTGTAGCATTTTAAGAGGACCTCTTACTTGGTGACCAAACACTAGTTCAAAGGGTGAACAGCCCAACGACTCTTGTAGCCCTTCTCTAGCAGCAAACAACACAAAGGGGAGATTCTCATCCCAATTACGTGGATGAGTTTCTCCGGTTGTCTTCAGCATTTGTTTCAAAGTCTGGTGGAAACGTTCAAGTCCACCTTGGCTTTGTGGATGATATGGACTGGATAATTTGTGACGAATCCCTCGGGATTCGCAAAAAGTTCTGAAAACCTTAGAAACAAAATTTGTCCCATTATCACTCTGAATAACTCTAGGCATTCCAAACAACGAAAAGAATCTTTCAAGACACTTGATGAGATTATGAGCCTTGGTATTCCGTAGAGCATAAGCTTCAGGAAATCTAGTAATCATACACATGAGAGTGAACAAAAACATGTTACCCGATTTAGTCTTAGGTAAAGGACCCACACAATCAATTACAACATGAGTAAATGGTTCATCAGGAACTACAATAGGTTGCAATGGTGCTCTAGGTACAGATTGATTTGGTTTACCAACAATTTGACAGGGTATACAGTTATGACAATATCTGACCACGTCTTTCTTTAACTTTGGCCAGAAAAAATATTTACTTATCTTATGGTACATATTCGTGATACCTTGATGACCTCCCATGGGGTCATCATGTGCAGCCTGCAGGACCTGCCTACGATAATCATTGGGGACAACGAGTTGGGTTCTAATCTCACAATCCTCTGAAGAGGGAGTTCCCTTGGGTCTCCACCTTCTCATCAGAAGTCGATCCTTGAAGAAGAAACCCGTCCCTTCCTCCAATGCATCAATATTATCAGGAGCCTCAGAAATACACTTACTTAAACTAGGATCAGTAGTCTGTACAACACTTAAGGGCAATGACTCAGACTCAGCAGCGAGCGGGCAAGAACCTAGTAGCTTGATCTCTTTTCCCGATTGATCAGAATAAAATGGAGTCATAGCTACTTCGGCCTCACTCTCGACAACTGGCGCACTGGAGACAAGCGGGCAAGGTACAGATAGTTCAGCCTCCTCACCTTCACTTTCCTTGTGATTTAGGTTCGGCGGGGCTTCTACTACGGCCTCACTCTCATCATCCAGTCGAGTCATAAAAGAATCCTCAAGATCCACCTCCCACTCCTTTTCTGAAGGGGTCCTGGTCTTGGGAACAGCAACCTCAGTGAAGACAGGATTACTCTCACCTGTTCTTCCCATTGATCTAGTAACAACACAAGCAGGGTAAATAATATCATCATCTGCTTCTGGTTGAGCTAATACAGTATGGGGTTTAGTTAACATGATGGGACACTTGGGCCCTACAACTATTTGGTTGCCAAAATCATTACCTAGAATAATGTCTACCCCAGGAATGGGCAGTTGTTTACTTACACCAACATTACACCATCCTGAAGTATAGTTAGAATCAAGGTTAACTTGCAATAAGGACACTGGTTGCACACTACCGGCAATACCTTGGAGAAGCACAACTTCACCCAGATCTCGGGTGTCAACATCATCAAGTACCTTCTGGGTAATAAGAGACTGTGAAGCTCCAGTATCACGGAGTAATTGAACAGTCTTATGTCTACCATTATTACATAATAAGGTACCTGTGGAAATATAGGGTTTGAATTCAGCCATCCAATTGGGACTGACTGTAATACATGAAGAATTAATAGGTTGCACTCCTTTACTCATAATAAGACCAGTTGGTCGTAGTTCAGGATGCAAACTAAAACATGAAGAAATCACATGCCCCCTTCTCTTACAATGGGTACAATGTTTGACAGTGGACACACTGGTAGAACCAACTGCCGGTTTAGAATTAGCATTACTAGGCTTAGATGATCCTGGCAATGGAGTAACCATCTTAGGGTTAGTAAGAGAAGAGTTCACGGGAGTAACTGTCGCACCAGGAGGAGACTTATACTGATAAGGAGTTCGGTGAGCATTGAAATTTACTCTACGACTAGACTTAGGTGAAGTGGCCGTAAACGGGGCCTTAGTCAGCAACTCATGCTCATCCGCGAGCTTTGACAGCTCATAAATATCGGTTACATTCTTTTGTTCTGCCATAAAAGTAGACAACTGGTCTGGGAGACATGACAATACTTCTTCCATTATAAGAAGATTCTTTAGAGCATCAAAATCAGTGACTGCAAGTGACCTTAACCATCTGTTGCAAAAATTCGTCTTCTGACGAGTAAAATCTGCTATTGTCTGATCCCTTATCCTCCGTAGGTTTCTGAACTTTTGCCTGTGTGCCTCTGGATTTAACTGGTACGCATTTAGGATGCTTTTCTTTACAAAGTCATAATCAAAGCTATGAGTGTCAGGTAGGGATGTGAAAACCTCCTGACTACGCCCCTTAAATTGAGACTGCATAATGGCTACCCACTGATCCCTTGGCCAGTTCATACTGATGGCAATTTTATAAAAATGTGCAAAGAAAACCTCAGGATCCTCCTCATTGAACTTGGGCAACTCTATATACTTATTCATCCTGATGGGATTATTATCACTATTTGTTGAAACATTACTAGTATTTCCATGCCCAGCTGCCATACGCTGTGATTCAAGCCTGAAGTTAGTGTCAGCCATTTGTTGTTGAATCTCTAATTGCCTAGTTTGTTCCTCGGCTTGTTGCTTCTTTGTGGCTTCTATTTGCAACTGTACCGCAATTTCTAAACGCCTAGTCTCCAGCTCCCTTTGCTGAGCTTCAGCCTCTAATATTTGCTGTTCCCTTTTAGCTTCAAGCTTAGCATTGGTTATTTGCGCTTCTAACTCAAGACGCTTTAACGTCATCTGATCACTCGACTCCTCTCTTAACTCTTCTAGAATTTCTTCCTCTAACTCCCCATTCTCAACAAAATGCGTCACAATGACTTTCAATATTTGGGCTTTAACCATTCTATTGCTGGCGGTCAAATCCAACTGATTTGCCATTTGTATTAACTCAGTCTTTTTAAGGTTCTGAATCCCTTCAAAGTCTGGGTGAGCCACCAACGCTGCAACTTTCTCCTCCATCGTTACTAACACTTGGCACTTGATTCACAAAAATAATTAAAATAATGGCACTGCACTACACTTCACTGTAAAATTGTCACCACACTGAAAATTCGCTTGGCCTCACTGCACAAACAAAATATATAGGATGACTTACCTCAAAATCGTGAAACGTTGTTACTTGACACACAGGAAGGCTTGCTTGGCACATGGAATAGTTCTTAAGAAACACACAGAGACACTTGACACACTGGTACCTAGGAAGGCAAGATTAGATTAGCATAGTTAAGTTAAAGTGGGAACAATATTTCCCGGCACAGGCCCCCATAACTCTTTGTTACCTATCGTACGTTACGGCTCGTGATCCTACAGCAGCCAAACTTTAATTATGTCTAGGGATACGACACAACTGCTGTTCTCAATAGCGAATCACCAGTATAACCCCTTGATAAGTAATGAGCACAAAAATAAAATCTTCCTTAGGACTGAAGAATAGATACAACAATATTATATATATATGTATTAAATAAATCTCAATAGCAAACAGATGATTATATGGTCACAATATATCACATTAAAATATCACTGTATCTTCCAGACATTAAATTACAATTATAATATGTATGGCTAATGACAGAACAAAATGTATAACTTAACTCCAACAAGATGTTATCTCCTTGGTTCCCGATCAGCTACTGAATAACATAACGCGGGAATCAAAACAGATTGCCTTGCCCCGCGAACAATTTGCCAAAGTTACAATATTATTTATTTCAACAATGGAGCAATACATTGTGACAAGAGTAATCTTAAACTAACTTAATGAATAATTAATACATATTGATATACACAAATAAAGTAAGTACTTCTTTACATAGTAATTAAAATATGCATACAGAAGGGAATAATGGCATGCACACCCAGCAACGGACGATCCCACGACAATTTGCCAGATACAGTTCACTCAATTATTATTCACCTCTGTTACCCACTTATGATCACATATAAATCATTAGTTCCCGTGGGAAAACTGAGCACACAAAGAAATAAACAATCATTCCCACGATACGTTGGGCCTAACGCCAACACTGTAACATGAATGTGCATTTGCATAGAACATATAAGTATATCAATATACATGCTTGTAATTTACATACAATTATAAATGTACATATTAATATATTTACTTACGTATCTATTAGGGTCCGTAACAGGGACCTGACTTCCTCCCCCATCCTTGGGGACCTGGCTTCCTCCCCCATCCTTGGGGACCTGACTTCCTCCCCCTTCCTTGAGGACATGACTTCCTCCCCCATCCTTGAGGACCTGACTTCCTCCCCCATCCTTGAGGACCTGACTTCCTCCCCCATCCTTGAGGACCTGACTTCCTCCCCCATCCTTGAGGACCTGACTTCCTCCCCCATCCTTGAGGACCTGACTTCCTCCCCCATCCTTGAGGACCTGACTTCCTCCCCCATCCTTGAGGACCTGACTTCCTCCCCCATCCTTGAGGACCTGACTTCCTCCCCCATCCTTGAGGACCTGACTTCCTCCCCCATCCTTGAGGACCTGACTTCCTCCCCCATCCTTGAGGACCTGACTTCCTCCCCCATCCTTGAGGACCTGACTTCCTCCCCCATCCTTGAGGACCTGACTTCCTCCCCCATCCTTGAGGACCTGACTTCCTCCCCCATCCTTGAGGACCTGACTTCCTCCCCCATCCTTGAGGACCTGACTTCCTCCCCCATCCTTGAGGACCTGACTTCCTCCCCCATCCTTGAGGACCTGACTTCCTCCCCCATCCTTGAGGACCTGACTTCCTCCCCCATCCTTGAGGACCTGACTTCCTCCCCCATCCTTGAGGACCTGGCTTCCTCCCCCATCCTTGAGGACCTGGCTTCCTTCCCCATCCTTGAGGACCTGGCTTCCTCCCCCATCCTTGAGGACCTGGCTTCCTCCCCCATCCTTGAGGACCTGGCTTCCTCCCCCATCCTTGAGGACCTGGCTTCCTCCCCCATCCTTGAGGACCTGGCTTCCTCCCCCATCCTTGAGGACCTGGCTTCCTACCCCACCTGTGATCCAGTACACTAGAGAGCAACACCCGTGGTGGAGGCGGCCAGCACATACACTGTATCTAGGGTGAGTGTACTCACATCTGGGTAACTGAGCAGTGTGTGTAGTGGGGGGTGTAGTGCACAGTACTGGGGCTCTCGAGCCTGCGGGTGTGCATGCGGGCCACATTGCAAAAAGTGTTGTGCAGGAAAATAAAGAACCTTCGTCGAGATTGTTGTTATTGCCAGGGACTCCGAGGCAGCTTCATAAATTGTCAATTGCAACATTTTTATCGTAAAAATTGCACGTTTGCGTTCTGGGCTGGTCACACAATTATAAAAGTATTATTAATTATACTTTAGAACCTTGTGCGGGTATACTATTGAGGGACATATTTTGTCTTAATATACTGATATACTTTAAACGTTAATTATCACGAGACTATTATTAATTTATTGACGTTAATGTTTTAATGATTCAATTACTTGAGAAATTTATTGTTTATAAAGTCAGAATCTGACCTAATGAAATGACAGGATAAATCTTTCATTCTGTATTGCAACTTGGGGTTACTCTCAAATGTTAGTTAATACTGTGGGTTTATGCTGAGGGTTAGATTAGGTCTAGGTAAGGTTGGGTTAGGTCTAGGTAAGGTTGGGTAAGGTTAGGTTATGTGTTATGGTTATGTTGGTCCAGGAAGTGTTTACACTACACACTGAAAGTATTCGAAGCACATTTCGAATCATTACTTCGAACAAGCAGCCCTCCAAACAATGACCCAAAAGTGATTCCATGCACCCGCCAAACCCCCTGTTTATGAATGAAAAACTGTTTACACACGAGTCTCAACTGATGACGTTATCTTGAGGTTATCTTGAGATGATTTCGAGGCTTTAGTGTCCCCGCGGCCCGGTCCTCGACCAGGCCTCCACCCCCAGGAAGCAGCCCGTGACAGCTGACTAACACCCAGGTACCTATTTTACTGCTAGGTAACAGGGGCATTGGGTGAAAGAAACTCAGCCCATTGTTTCTCGCCGGCGCCCGGGATTGAACCCGGGACCACAGGATCACAACTCCAGTGTGCTGTCCGCTCGGCCGACCGGCCGACGTTCGAACACTTCTGGAACAAATGCTTCACTGACGAATTGGGTTCGAACCACAACGCTGTAAATGCTTCACCCACGTACTACAAATACAAATAATCGCGAACAGAACCTAAACACCTAACACCAATGAACATGGGTTGCCCCATCCTCTCTTAGACCACACCCATCAACCACTCCCTTTTCTTCATTTGCCACTCCGTCAAAAATCCAACCTAATCTCACCAGAATGTTACAAACCCAAGCAGCCCATCTAACCTACAGAGTCCGATGCATAGAAAACGTAACTATTTGTGAGGCATTGCTTTGTGACGTTATAGTTAATATAACGTACGAAACACGACCTATTAGTTGTGAAGACAGGTTCCATCCAAACTCGAGAAGAGTTGAGACATAGAATAGATGTGATTGATATTAATCTCCAGATGAAGAGTCTGAACCATTGCCAGAAACTCTCATTGTACAAGTATCCAATTCTTTACCTTTTATCCCCAAGGGGATCCTATTGAGCTAGGCAGACGTGTGTGATCAGCAATGTTGATATTGCCAAGTTGCCATAAATGTGCTGGCAACTGTTGACACTTGGACCGGCGTCGCCGTATGTGGTGAGAAAGAGAATGGGAGAGAATAGCAGGAACTTGGGACTAATGCTCTCAGTCGTCAGTGATATGTGGGGGGGGGGGGGGGGTACTGTCTGTGGGGGAGGGGGCAGTACTGTTTGTGGGGGGTGGGTACTGTTTGTGGGGGGTGAGTACTGTTTGTGGGGGAGGGGGTACTGTTTGTGGGGGAGGGGGGAGTACTGTTTGTGGTGGGTGGGTACTGTCTGTAGGGGGAGAGTACTATTTGTGGTGGGTGGGCACTGTCTGTAGGGGGAGGGGAGGGGAGTACTTTTTGTGGTGGGTGGGTACTGTCTGTAGGGGGAGGGGAGTACTGTTTGTGGTGGGTGGGTACTGTCTGTAGGGGGGGGAGGGGAGTACTGTTTGTGGTGGGGGTGGGTACTGTTTGTGGTGGGTGGGTACTGTCTGTAGGGGGAGGGGAGTACTGTTTGTGGTGGGTGGGTACTGTCTGTAGGGGGGGGAGGGGAGTACTGTTTGTGGTGGGGGTGGGTACTGTTTGTGGTGGGTGGGTACTGTCTGTAGGGGGGAGCGAGTACTGTTTGTGGTGGGTGGGTACTGTCTGTAGGGGGGAGCGAGTACTGTTTGTGGTGGGTGGGTACTGTCTGTAGGGGGGGGGCGAGTACTGTTTGTGGTGGGTGGGTGGGTACTGTCTGTAGGGGGGGGGGCGAGTACTGTTTGTGGTGGGGTGGTGTTATGATCTCAGCCTACAGGAGAAACGAGTCTCCCCCTTGAGAGTTATTCAACAAGCCTGACCTAACTAGAAGGTATAGGAAATATGGAGGTGATAACACATATGTAAAATAGTTGGTTGGATTTAAATAACAATTTAAGATTATGAGCAGTAAATAAGGAAATAGATAAATGACTGGTTTGGAGATGTGGATATTTTGCTGGAGGCGTGAGGCTCGCTTCTGAAGGGCTTTGACCTCACTTGAGGCCAGACATCGCAGGGGGAAAGCCACGCTCCGTTGAGCTCCCGTCAGAAGGGAACCCCTAGTGATATATCTCGAAGAGAAGAGAAGTGTGCAGACGTACCAGCTGTGGAATCGAGCTGGGGACGTGTGGTCTCAAGTCATGGGCGACGAGGAGTGTTTATTAAGCCGCCCAGAGACATTATCGTGGGCTGTGGAACGCCCTGACCAGGCTCCGTCAGAGGGATAGTGCCCTCGACTAGACAATCTGTGGTAAGCACGATATACGCCAGTTCATAGTGATTGCTTGTAGTTGGTCGTGTGCCCAGCGACAGTAGCGATGTTTATTTATAAGTTAGACATGTTTTGATAAGGCAGAAACCCTAAAATAAGAGTGGAGAGGGAGGAACACGGAGCGACGTCCGTCCCCTCTGAGCGCTGGCAGGTGACTGAAGGCTCCTGACGGTGGAGGACCCTCCCGGAGTGAGACCCGCCAGGCGAGGTGGAGCATGGACCCGCCCAACGGGGGAGTCCACTCTCACAGTATGTAGAGGACAGATAGAGGTTTGAGGCAAACATATTGTGTGATTATTTTTGTTTATGTGTTAAAGGGGAAACATTTTTATTGGAGTGTCGATGGGTAGCAGGTTTGTCTTTGGGGAAGAAGTTGCTGAGAACTTCAAAGCCAGCACAGAGGGAGTAGTTGATGAGACTCCAAGGTAGTGGAGCAGAGGACCTCGAGCTGTGAGGAGAAGCAGTGAAGAGGAGTGTCACGTGCTTCTGTAGAGGTGGTGAAGCACCATAATTGCTCGAGGGAACTGTTACCTATCGTACGTTACGGCTCGTGATCCTACAGCAGCCAAACTTTAATAAGTCTAGGGATACGACACAACTGCTGTTCTCAATAGCGAATCACCAGTATAACCCCTTACTAGGTAATGAGCACAACAATAGTATCTTCATAGGACTGAAGAATAAAGACTAAGCATATGTATATAATTTATATTAAATAAATCTCAAAGGCAAACAGATGATTATATGGTCACAATATATCACATTAAAAATATCACTGTAACTTCCAGACATTAAATCCATACTAAGAATAATTATATGGCTAGAACAAAAGAATGACTTAACTCCAAGATGATATCTCCCTGGGTTCTGCTCAGCTACTGAACTACAATATGCGAGTCAAAAAACACATTGCCTTGCCCCGCGAATAAATTGCCAAAGTTACAATATTTATTATTTCAACAATGGAGCACTACATTGTGACAAGAGTAATCTTAAACTAACTTAATGAATAATTAGTACATATTGATATACACAAAACTAAAGTACTTGTTTCTTTACATAGTAATTAAAATATGCATACAGAATAGCATAATGGCATGCACACCCAGCAACGGACGATCCCACGACAATTTGCCAGATACAGTTCACTCAATTATTATTTCACTCTGTTACCCACTTATGATCACATATAAATCATTAGTTCCCGTGGGAAAACTGATCACACAAAGAAATAAACAATCATTCTCACGATACGTTGGGCCTAACGCCAACACTGTAACATGAATGTGCATTTGCATAGAACATATAAGTATAACAATATACATGCTTGTAATTTACATACAATTATAAATGTACATATTAATATATTCACCTACGTATCTTATAAGGGTACGTAACACTTCCACCTCCAAGAAAAAAAATGCAATGGATTGAAGATCAATGGCATTTTTTCAGAAGTAAAAATGTTAAGTAAAAAGAAACATTTCATTTATGGTACATCAAAACTTCTTGACAAAGCATCAGCAATAACATTTTGTCTGCCTGGAATATGTTTGATTTCTACATTAAATTCCTGCAAAAACAATGACCATCGCAGAATTCGTTGGTTCTTGACTTTCATCATATTTATAAAGATAAGGGGGTTGTGGTCTGTAAATACTAACACTTTATTTCCTGATAAGTAAATCTCAAACTTCTTGATTGACAATATAAGACCCAACGCCTCCTTTTCTACCACGGAATAATTTCTCTGAGCTGCATTAAATTTTCTGGAATAGTAATACACAGGATGCTCAATCTGGTCTAAACCAACTTGAATAAGCACAGCACCTATCCCAACATCTGACGCATCAATGTGTAATATAAATGGTTTATCAAATTGGGGACTAGCAAGAATAGGTGAGGTGGACAATATGCCCTTTAGGTTCTGAAAAGCATTCTGACAATCTTGTGTCCACTGAAACTTTACTTGCTTGCGTAACAAGTTTGTCAAAGGAGCAGCTACTGTTGAAAAATTTCTACAATAACGCCTATAGTATGCACACATACCAATAAACCGTTGGACTCCTTTCTTATTGGTCAACACTGGGTAGTCCACAATGGCTTGAATCTTA